GAAGAAGAAGAAGAAGAAGAAGAAGAAGAAGAAGAAGAAGAAGAAGAAGAAGAAGAAGAAGAAGAAGAAGAAGAAGATGAAGAAGAAGAAGAAGAAGAAGAAGAAGAAGAAGAAGAAGAAGAAGAAGAAGAAGAAGAAGAAGAAGAAGAAGAAGAAATAATAATAATTATCATTATTATTGCATTTATAGTGCAAATCCACGTAGTAAAGTATTCTTTACGCACTTTTCCAAAATCATTACCCAGCAGACCCTAGAACACTCCCAAACATCCTCAGCTTTTCGGGGAGCATACAATGCAAACAGCTCATTAAGCTCTCAAGCACTAACAAACTGACAAGAGCAAGATTATATCCTCGCTAGCTTGCATAGTTAAGTAACGCTTCAATGAAAATCCAGAATTAAAGAGCAGCAAACGAATAGCTTACCAAATGCAAATATTCTCCTTCCAAAACAAAAGAAATTCCTTTTCTCCACAATGGAAATATCCTCGAGAAAATAATTATATGGTAGTAGTAGGTAGATTACTAGAATAACTATTATTATGTTTTAGTTATTTTTTAGTTCGTTTGAATATTTTAAATTTCTCAAATAATAAAGTAAAAGCAGGATACCCATAGGAGGCCAAAGGCTTCTAAGAAGGCTATCGTTATGCACGTGCTTTAGTGTTAAAATTTTGCCTAACTTCTGATTTCGTCTCCCTCGAAAATTCGTTTTATAGAAGCTGCTGGATTATCGATTCTTTCTTTCATACTAAGCCTGCTATTTATTTTGAAATACTGCTTTCTCTTCCTATCCAAACACTGCATTTTGAAAGTCTGTTTCGCGCTTGCGAACCCATCAGTTTTCTCGTGCATTTATTATTTACTTTAATTTCCACAGGTACCTCTGTCTGAGAGAAAAAGTCGAAAAAATAGAAACTAAATTTAGAAACAGTTATGGCCGCGCTGTAAGCCGAGAGCAACAATATGTGCGTCTATAGACCAGACTAATAGGAGGCGTCGAAAATGGGGAACGGAAATAAATACTCAGAATGCAATGGGCTCCGGTTTGTTTGTTTAGTTAGAGCTTACAGGTTTTGCGACAAGGAACACTGTGTCTCACCATAGCTTTCAGACGCGAGGGTTCTATATAGATTTCCAATTACAACGCATTGCTTCTTCTAAGTCATTCTGTCTACTTTTTTTTTTTTGGGGGGGGGTGTTCAACTGTGACGACGCGTCATATCTATCTTCTGCTCCAATTTCGATATATCATCCTCATCGTCGTCGTCGTCGTCGTCGTCGTCGTCTCTCTCTCTCTCTCTCTCTCTCTCTCTCC